AGAACAGTTTGTACTTCAAGGCTGTAGGACTGTAAAAGTTTCCTTTCAATGTTCACTTTACATAACTGGTGATTTCTCTCAGGCATCTGCTGGTCATAGAATTCAGTGATCTGCTTCAGAACAGCAGACTCCTCCTACAGTTGATCAGCCATTCTTTTAGTCTGAACCTATCCCGGGGGGGGTACTTTAGGAATTTCTGGGTGGGGATGTGCCGCTGGGACCCTGGAACCCTTAACCTATACCAGAGCTAGTTCACCTAAATTTTGCTACCCTATACTTGAGTAAACTTCCCAAATCCCCCCTATCCTAGAGTAGCTGTTTCCCTAGTCTATATAAAATCTTCAACCAACTGATCAGTTTCCTGAAAAATGATACCCTATTCTAGAGCCAAACGCTCTGATTTATATACCCTATCCTAGAGTAAACTGCTTGAAAACCATACCCTTCACAGCAGCACATACCTATATAGCCCATATATGGCAGTACCCCCCCCCCCGGGGAACCTATCTCCTGGTCTGAAATTTCAGTAAAGCATTAGCTTGTGCCACGGATAGAGGGGATGCGGCAAAAATAAAACAAGCCACTCTCCCCAGCCCTTGCGCGTTTTTTTCGTATCACTTTTTATATCACGACTGCACTGCTAACGTGGAGCCTTCGATCACTACCACTGCAATTAACGGAAATTTCGTAAATTCCGTTCGGAAGGTTAATGGTGAACTCAGTTTTTGGAAACTCCAGTCGAAAAACTTCTACAATTTCTTAAATTGGATCCACAAGATGGGCTCCTGTTTAAACTTAATGTTTGAGTTAGTCGGCTTGTTGGTACCAACTAAACGGAATGCTGCTTCGGCCTTTTACCAGTTTCTTGATTCCAGACTCACGCTACAGAAATTCGCGCCTTGTCTAGACTCAAAGCGCCAGGGCAGTTTATACTCTTTGCAGCTACAGTCGAAGCTCCCAGTACCACTCAGCCTTTGCATTTTGAGTGGTCGATTACGGGAGGTGGTCATTTACAAGAATCGAACCACAGGGCGCCTTTTCCAAGAAAAGGTTCAAGCACATCTACTTTATGGAAGGTAATTTATTGCATGTAATGTCTAAGAAACGACACGTGTAGTTCCACGTTGTCACTAAAGTTCCTCTTATATTCTAACCGGTAGCATAGTGCACACAGCGAACATACAGATCAGAGAATGAATTAAGTGGTCGGTTACAAGATGATAAAAACAATGGAAAATCATTAACCGTCAGGCCCAAAAGTGGTTGCTGTCGCTTACAGGAGTTGGTCGTTTGCTAGAGGTTCTAACTGTAAGGCTTTGACTGGGAAAATTTTGGTGTTTGGATTGGCGGTCGCTTATAGGAGGTGGTCGCTTACGGGAGGTGGTCGCTTACGAGAGGTGGTCGCACATGGATGTTCGACTGCAGCCATATACGTGGTACAAAAACACCATGCTGGAGCCGGGCCGCACCACAGGTACCCGGTACCCCAAGCTCACGAGTGAGAATCGTTGTTGCGTAACGGAAACATTACAGACCTTTAGATTCTAGGACGAGAACGACTACGAGTACGAGATTTAACTGAAAGTTTTTTCGCGTGTTCTCAAATAATAGACACCCCGGATGGCTTCATTGTACATCTCTTTCACCAAAAAAATTAGCCCTGCTATCTTGATTGAAGGAGGTTACGTTACCTGCTAGCCGCAAAATAATGAAAAATGAAAAATGAAAATGCATTTATATAGCACCATACTCGACTGATTGTCCGTGGCGCTTTACAATACCATAACTCTTAATTAATTTTAGAAAACTACATTATTCAATGCAATTCAGGCTAATAATAAAAATTATAAAACAACAGAATTCGTAAACAGATATGTCTTAAGCTTAGTTTTTAATAGAGTAACTGACGATGATAGCCTCAGTGATGTCTAATGATAACTTATTCCACAACTATGGAGCAGCAAAGGAGTATGCCCCATCATCATAGGTTTTTAATTTAGCCACGGGCTCATCACGCAAATTCTTGTTTGAAGATCGTAATACGCGGCGCGAATTCTTATACTTCAGCAGATTTTTTATGTAGCTAGGTGCTTGACCGTTTAGAGCCTTATAAGTCAGTAACAATAGCTTAAAAATAATTCTATAGCGTACAGGGAGCCAGTGTAAACGCCTAAGAATCGGTGTAATATGATCACGCTTTCTCGACGCGGTAACAAGGCGAGCTGCTTAATTCTGCGCAAATTGAAGTCTATCAATCAGATACTTTGGAAGACCATAGTGCAGAGCATTAGAGTAATCTAAACGCCAGGTTATGTAAGCGTGAACAACAGTCTTGGCAGTTTATAACTTGTAACCGCTAACACGACATTCTTGCTAAAACTCGTAGCAGAATGACAGGGGCACCCAACGACTGTTTTCTGTAAAATATCTGTTCGGAGAAGCAAATATTGCCTAGAACTTGAGGACGGCTAAAAGTTTCTAGACGACTGTTCCATTCATATACAATTTTCGAAGCCATGTTTTCCAATAAATCCGCTACGATTTTCTTAAGTTTAATTTTTCACACTTTACTCCCCAGGTTGGCTATTTTTCGTAGTAAAAAGGAAACCTAAAAATTTTCGGATTCAAAAATGCGATGTAGAGAAGAATTAGAAAAATTCTCACTTTCGTAAAACGTTAAATTGCATCTAAAATTTTCGGGAAAGTAATACTGGGGCCCTAATAATTTCGAACAGACTCAAATTGCCCTAGGATGACCGAACAGATACAAATTTTATAGCGCCGCT